GAGAGAGAGAGGGAGAGAGAGAGAGAGAGAGAGAGAAAGAGAGAGAGAGAGAGATGGAAAAGAGTGGTAAATACAGTGACAGAGAAAGGTGGTTAATACACCGACAAAGATATTGTTGTTTAAGTAGAGGCTTTACGGCGCTCGCAACTGCAAAAGGTTATATGAGCGCCAAGGGGTGGATGTCAACAGAGAAGTTCTTGCAGGGAATCAGACTTACCCTGCTCACCTCTCTAGATTCAACAGCACAAAGTCTGCTCCGACTCTCAAGGCACCCCCGGAAATAGCGAGTCACAAAAATGTGACAGACATACGAAAGAAGTAGAGCGAAAATGACAATACTAAGGATTAGGAAAGAGAAAGGAGCAGTTCCCTGTTGCAGCTCAGGTACAGTTATGAGCAAGACCCTGATTAATCAGCCCACTTACAATTCTATTGTGCATAGGAATAATATGTTACAACAACAACAACAACAACAACAACAACAATAAAAAAATAAATAAAATAATAATACTACTAATAATAATAACAAATCTCATTTGCATAGCACATATCCCTGCTTAACAGGAATCTCTACGGCAGACCATAGAACACTCAGAAACATTCTCAGCTTCTGGGGAAGCGTACAAAGCAACCAGTTAAGCGCTCAACACTAGCAAACTGACAAGATCTTTCGCTGTCTATAGCTTCTTACCTATTCCCACCTGGGTAAAGTGAGGAAAAGTCGTGGAAAGTGCCTTCCCCAAGAACACAATGTCGGCCCCTGACGGGATTCGAAGCCACGACCTTACGGTTGTGAGTCCGAGAGCCTAACCACCAGTTAGAGATGAATAAAAAGACAGGATAAAGGAGAGTTGTAAATACAGAAAAAGTAAAAAAAATTGTGACAATACAGAGACAATGATAGAGATGAGTGGTAAATACAGAAAGAAAGGTTGAGATGCGTGGTAAATACACAGACAAAGATAAAGGTAAATAAATACACAGACGGTAAAGGTGAGCTACAAACAGAGAAAAAGAAAGAAAAGGTGTCAAAACAGAGACAAAGACAGAGATGAGTGGTAAATATAGAGACATATAAAAAATAATATAGTGGTAAGTAAAGAGACAAGGATTAAGGTGAGTGGTAAATACAAACAAAGAGAAAGGTGGTAAATACAGAGACAAAGATAGAGATGAGGGGTAAGTACAGATTAGAATATAGAAATGAGTGGTAAAAAGAGAAAGACAAAGGCAGAGATGAGTGATAAAGAGAGAGAGAGAGAGAGAGAGAGAGAGAGAGAGAGAGAGAGAGAGAGAGAGAGAGAGATGAAGGTAGGA